TTTTTTTTTTTTTTGGGGGGGCACTCTCTCTCTCTCCGCCCCCCCTAAAAAAAAAACATACGACAGTCCCATTGGATAGTGATATACAGAGAGTATGCAACCGTCTCTTCCCCGATCTTCCCCTACCATAATTCAGAGTCCATCTCCACTCATCAGGATCTAGAGGGAGTTCCTGTATTGGCATATTTCGTTTGTATACTCTCCATTGATCCGTTTCCTCATTTATCTAATCTATCTATATAATCTATCTATCTATTCATCTATTTATCTTTCTATCTATCTATCTATCAACATAATATTGCAAAGTGCATTCTTTTAGTTCATAGATATGTGGCAATATATGCGTATATTAATCTCCCACTTCCTTAAGCCAGCAGTTGGCACGAACCGAACTTGACGAAGCTATTTTCAAAGGCTATCAAACCTCAACCTGTTTCCTTTCATCGTAGCCTTCCGCTTTCACTACTCCGCCCACAGGCAGGCTCGAAGCAACATATGACCTTCCTGCGGACACCGGGTAAGATCCTAACTTAGCGCCAGATCCCACTAGCCCCTATTGTTCATTTCTGACCGTTGATCTTCGTAATCGAGGGTCAAAAATGAATAATCCAGGGTAGTGGGATCTGACCCTTAGCTTGAACCGGTGTTTAGAAAAACCGTCAGCAGCTCACCCGAGCCCAAGTTGGCGAAGTGACCTTCCAAGGCTCACTAGCCTGCAACTGCGCCTTTTCAATGTGGCCTGCCTCTTTTGCTACCAGCCCAGGCCCGAATCGAAAACCTCTTGCCGGGTATACCTGGAAGTAAGAACGCTACTTAAAGCACCAGTACACCACACATCGACCCGCGGGTTTCAGTACGAAACACGCACCACTTCGGAGGCCACCGATTTTTTTTTTCAACGGCGCCCCACGCCGCGCGGCCTCTCCGAGTTTTGCTTCTGGCGACAAAAAACTTCCTGTAAGGCTGGGCCCGTGTACTTGCAGGTTAAAGTTCACGTCAAC